CCCATCTTCTCCTTCAAACTGCCCTCCTCCTTCCCAAACCTGCCCACCTCCTCCCCAAATGTACCCACCTCCTCCTTCAACCTGCCCACCTTGTTCCCAAACCTGCTCATCTCCTTCCAACCTGCCCACCTCCTCTCCAAATCTGGCCACCTCCTCCTCAATCCCCAACCTTGGCCATGTCCTGTCCAAACCTGACCGTCTCCTTCCCACCTCCTCTCCAAACCCCACTGCCACACAAAACCCCCCCGTATTCCCACCCTCCCTCTGGAAAGGCATCGAGCTCACGTCTCTCCACTGCCCTCAGTGATTCCAACCCTCTCCACTCGCTCTCCGTGGCCAATTCCCTCGACTCTCGGAGCAAAGCTCCGCTCCCCGCAGGGATTTGGCCACCAGGAAACACCCGAAGCCTACAAGGAAACAGGGGGTTGTATCTGCAGCGGCTCAAAGCTTGTGCCAGGGATGTTACACCAGTTCACTGAAACAGAATTAATCGAGGAGTTGAGGAAAAAGAGGCAGCTTTACCCTGGGAACTAAATGCCCCAAGGGCTTATTTTTCTTCTCTCTCTCTCTCAGATCTGTAGAGATACAAAGCAAGTGGTGGGTTTGCAGAACGGCACCTGAAACGCTCCGTTTGGCAGCTCAAATTCTGCTTCACGTGACACTTTTTGGCGTGTTGGGCTGTCGCTTTAAAGATAAACAGACAAGCAAACGAGCAAACACACACACACACACACACGACCCCTCGGCAAAGCACCCCCTGACCCTGACCCCAGACAGCCCCGGGACGCTCGGGATGCTCCTGGGGAGTCACCGGGAGGGGCAGATCCGACGGGACTGTGCGGGATGAGGGATGACGGGAGCCTGGATGGGGGGACACGGGATGGGGACGTCCCCTGGCACGTGGAGCCGCCCGGGCTGGGGGTCAGCGGGTCCCCAAGCACACGCACACACCGCTCAGTCGTCAGCGTCAGCTTTATTGGGGACACGGGTGTCACACAACAACGGACCCGCTGCACCGCGGGCACCTCGCGCGGCTCCCGGGGCTTGGGGTCGGCTCCCGGGGTTGGGATTGGATCCCCCTGCCCGGGATCGGCTCCTAGGGCTTGGGATCGGCTCCCAGGGCTTGGGATCAGCTCCCCCTGCCCGGGATCGGCTCCCAGGGTTTGGGATCGGCTCCCAGGGCTTGGGATCAGCTCCCTCTGCCCAGCATCGGCTCCCAGGGCTTGGGATCAGCTCCCCTGCCCAGGATTGGCTCCCCCTGCCCGGGATCGGCTCCCAGGGTTTGGGATCGGCTCCCAGGCTTGGGATCGGCTCCCTCTGCCCAGGATCAGCTCCCCCTGCCTGGGATCAGCTCCCAGGGCTTGGAATTGGCTCCCACTTCCCAGGATTGGCTCCCAGGCCTTGGGATCGGCTCCCACTGCTTGGGATCGGCTCCCCCTGCCCGGGATCAGCTCCCATGGCTTGGGATTGGCTCCCATTACCAGGGATTGGCTCCCACTGCTCAGGATCAGCTCCTGCTGCTTGGGATCGGCTCCCCCTGCCTGGGATTGGCTCTCACTGCTCAGGATCAGCTCCCGCTGCTTGGGATCAGCTCCTGCTGCTTGGGATCAGCTCCCGCTGCTTGGGATCAGCTCCTGCTGCCCAGAATTGGCTCCAGAGCAGCCACAGACACCGGGACACCTCGTCCCTCTCCCACAGCTCAGCGGGCTGGATCTTCCAGGATCTGTCACTGCTCTACAAACCCCGGACAGGAGGGGGGAGCCGGGGGGGACGAGCTCTGGTGCCAGGGAACGAGGGACAGGACAAGAGGAAACGGCCTCAAGCTGGGCCAGGGGAGGGTCAGGTTGAATATTAGGGAAATTCCTTCCCCCAAAGGATTGTAAAGCCCTGGAATGGGCTGCCCAGGGCAGGGGGGGAGTCCCCACCCCTGCAGGGATTTCCAAGCCCTGTGGATGTGGCACTTGGGGCCTGGGGTCAGCGGTGGCCCTGGCAGTGCTGGGTGGGGTTTGGTGGGCTCAGAGGGCTTTTCCAACCTCAGTGGCTCTGTGATTCCAGGTTAAACAGGGAGAAGGTGCTGTCGGCCTCACACTGCCAGGGCAGCTCCAGCAGAGCCGGGTCCGTGTGTCCCCACACAAGGGCCATTCCCAAGGGCAGGATGAAAGGAAGTTTGTCCCTCTGCTCTGCTGTCACTGTCACCACCGGTGAGGACCGAGCAGGAGCTGTGCCAGGCGAGCCCCTCTCAGCCTGGGCACACTGGTGTGCCTGGTCCTGGTCCTGAGGGGATGGAATCAACACTGCCTCCAGCAATTCCTCCACTCTGACCTCACGTTCCCATTCTCAGTCTTTCTTGGCCTCTTTCTCAGTCCCTCTGGTCAAAGGTCCTTCCGTGGGAGCCCGTCTTGGGAGGAGACAGAGCCAGAGTTAGAGCTATGGGGGAAGTTACGGGTCGTGTCTTCTCATCCCGGGGTGTCCAGGCAGGACCCCCAAGAGCTCTGAGAGGGAAACGCTCCAGGGCCTGATCTGGAGCTGCCACGTGCAGGGAGATCCCTGCCCTCGGATGGAACTGCTGTAAATTCAGAATTAGGGCAAGAAGAAATTCCCTGTCCCCTGCAGGACTCCAGGATACCTCACTGCTCCCATCCCTGAGGAACTCCAGGATATCTCACTGTTCCCATTCCTGTGGGACTCCAGGATATCTCACTGTTCCCATCCCTGAGGAACTCCAGGATATCTCACTGTTCCCACTCCCGTGGGACTCCAGGACACCTCACCGTCCATGTTTCCTGTGGGACTCCAGGACATCTCACCTTTCCTATTCCCTGTGGGATTCCAGGACTCCCCAGTGTCCCCATCCCTGTGGGACTCCAGGTCACCCCAGTGTCCCCATCCCCATGGGACCCCAGGATACTCCAGTATCCCTGTTCCCTGTGGGACTCTAGGACACCTCACTGTTCCCATTCCTGTGGGATTCCAGGACCCATCACTGTCCCCATCCCTGTGGGACTCCAGGTCACCTCAGTGTCCCCATCCCCAGACTACAGGACACCTCATTGTCCCCATATCCCGTGGGACACAAGGACACCTCATTGTCCCTGTTCCCTGTGGGATTCCAGGACACCTCTGGCTCCAGGCAGCTCTTGAGGGAGGTTTAGGTGACCCTGTCCTTGTCCAGACAGTTCCAGGACCTGGAAACCGTGTCCTGAACTGGGTCATCCCACTCTTACCTAACTGCTCCTTCCATTATTTCCTGAATTTACAGCAATTCCATAAAAGAGAGGAACTTGGACAACGCGGGAGAGGGACTGACATCATTAAATATTCTATTTACAGCCCATTTCCTGGGAAATATTTCAAGCCTTTGCCACCAACCGGGAGCATGAAAATTTCCGAGATGAAAGGCCGCGACTTTGGGAAAAGGAACGGGAATGTTTAACTCCGTGGGATGGCTGGAAGGGCCACACACGGGTGGTGGGAGGGGGTTTGGAGCGAGGAGGGCGGGGGGCTCCAGGGGCTCTGCTGCTCCTGGGGGGTGGGAAGCACAGGGATCACAGGGAAGCAGCGGCGGAGGCAGGAGGGGGTTGAAGAGAAGCGGAGGATGGCGAAGGGAAGCTCCTGGGAATCGGGGTCCCTGCTGTGGGGGGGGATCAGCAGGTCAGACAGACACGGATGGGGAGGCCAGGGAAGGGATGGGGACAGGGATGGGGGGGGCTGTGTTCCCACCTGGAGTCACTGGGAGACAGAGGACTCGCAGCCAGTCCCAAAACAGCCCCCCAGAGGTGCCAGCGCCACGGGGAGGGACCACCAGAGGGTCCCTGAGGTGGTTTGGTTGGAAGATCCTTTTGGAAGAGCCTTCCCAAGGGAAGGGCTCCCCTGGCAGGGGTGCACTGCTGGAGCTGCTGTTAAAACCACAGAGCCCCCACGTTTTCCAGCGCCACTGGAGGTGGGCATAGTGGGCACTGAGCTGTGGGGGGGCCTGATTCCAGAGGGTCCCCAAATGTGTCCGGCACAGGACCTGAGCAGGGCAGGGAGAGGGACCCCGAAAGGCTGTCACCTGCACAAGGGGCACAGGCACCCACCAGGTGAGTGAGACCCCCAGATAAGGTTCCAGCAGCCCCAGTTTGGTGTCCCCGGGGTGGTGCCACCAGGATGGCACCGCTGGGACGACCCTGCGCCCCCCTGGGACACGAGGGGACACTTTGTCCCTCACACCACGGCCTGGAATGTCACCTGCTGTGCCAGCACCACGCGGAGGTTTGGTGGGAAGAGCCTTTCCAAGGGAAGGGCTGCCCTTCACCCGGAGCTCCCTGCACCTCGCCGGGACCCTGGTACCCACTGGGTGACACCAGTGACACTGCTCAGGGTGGCTCTGAGCTGTTGTGGGGCTGCACCTCAACGGGCAGTGTGACACTGGAGATTCTGGGTCACCTCCTGCTGTAACTTTACATTTCGAAGCTTTGTCAGGGTTTGCGCCCAAACCTCAGGCTCCAGTTTAGAGGTTTTTGGACTAGTTTGGTTTCAGGGCCGGCTGGGCGAGGCAGGAACGGGGCTCAGTGGGCACAGGTCAGGCTGTGTCCTGTCTGGGGGATGTCACAGATCACCCTCGTGACCCCCCCCTGCCCGGCAGGGACCGGCTCCAACACAGGACAACATCCAGAGATCCTTTGGAATGAGAAGCACCAGAGAGACACACGTCGCTGTCGGGTCGTTCGGGGAGCAAACACGGAGGGTGAGACCCAGGACTCGGCACAGCAGCATCACGACAGCGCCAGAGACAGGAGGGACACGGAGCCACGGCAGGGAAAGGGGGAAAGCCACAGCAACTCGCGGCGCGGAGCCGATCCCACAGATCCCGGGAAGCTCCCGGGAGGCTCCCGGGAAGCCGCCGAGCTCCTGAAACGCCCCTCAGAACACACCCCGGCTACTCAGCACAGTCACACCCCCAAAACACCCCGCCCTCCCCGCGCCCCCGGCGTCTTACCGTGCCGCGACCACCGGCGACTTCTTCCCGGGGTCTAAGGTGGACCCGGCCGGTTCCTCCCCCAGTGATCGTGTATCCTTGTTCAGCTGCTGGAGTCGGGAACTTAGCTCACTGATCACAGTTGGCTTGTCATCGTCAGCCCCATGGATGGGCCTGCTCTCCATGGGGTCCCCCCATAGCTTGGACCTTCTCTGAAAGAGGTAGCGTGGCCGGCCGATGCTGGCGGACGCCAGCGTGGCCGCATGTTGCTGGGAGATGAGCTCGCTGTCCGAAGACTGCTTCAAAAGTGGGTCCCTGAAAGTAACTGGCCCCTTGCTGAGCTGGGACTTGAGTTTTGGCTTTGGAGGCACTGGTGGCTTCTCGAGTATAAAAGTTTGTCCATCCGCAAAGGAAGTGTACGTGTCGGTGGGCTCCCCGCTCTCCGAGGACAGCGTCGACATGCTGGAGACCGTGGAGATGGTGCTTGTGGTCTCCAGGTGGTGGTCGCTCGAACTCCTGGTGTCCACCTCTTCCACCCCCGAGTCCGCGGCGGACTCCGGGGCCGCGGGGGCGTCGGAGGGCTTCCCTGAGGGTGTTCCGCCAGTGGTAGAAGGTGCTACTGCTGCCGCTGGTATGGATGGCGTGCTGGGCGTAGCCAGGTGGCTCACGGGCGTGCCGGGGGTGGTCACCAGGACCCCGTTGGCGAACTCGTCCGGCGGAGGCACCAGCCCTATCTTGGCCAGCTCCTCCCTGGTCTCCTCGTCGCTGGAGGACAGCTGGGCCGGCGGGAGCGTGACCGTGTAGGGCTCCACCTCCTCCTCCGAGCTCCCCTGGCCCAGCGCCTTGTCGGCGGCGGCGGGGCTGACCGGAGGCTTCCCCACGGGGCTGGGCTGGGGCTCCGCCTTGGGGGGGGGGCTCGGCCGGCTCCGTGCAGACCTCGGGGACGGCCGGGGTCTCCTCTTTTATCTCAAGTCCTATCTCGTCTTGGCCATTACTGGTGGCGTGGACCATGATGAGGCCGGCGGTCTTCTGCTGCGACGTGTCCACGATGCTGATGATCATGGACTTCTTGTCCTCCGGTTTCTTCTCCTCCTTCCCCGGGGTCTCCGCTCGGGCCTCGGTCTCTTTCCTCAGCGTGGACGGAGTCCCCCACGGGCTCTTGGCGGGGGCCAAAGTCCCAGAGTCTGCCGCGATGGCTCCGATGGCTCCCATCACTCCTTTGCCTCCGGGGGAGTAGGCGGGGGACACCAAGCTCTCCAAGTCGCCCCTCTCTGGTTCTTTGGTTTGGATGTCCACGAACAGGGGTGCTGCTCTGTCTGAGTCGGGGCTGTGGATCGGGGTGGGCGACCGGGATGGGACTTGGGTGGACAGGGCCCGTTCCCTTGCGGCCAGCGCAAGCGCCAGTGGGGAGTTCGGATCCAGGGGCTTTCCCGTGAGGGGGTGGATGAACGTCGAGGACGAGCTGCTAATTAATGGCTTTAAAGCTGAGACGGGGGAAGGCAGTAGAACATCTCGGCTTCCTAACAACCGCTCATCGATGGACCTGGACTGCTGCAGGGACGGCATCTCGCTGGGCGGGGGGGGCGTCCCCTCGATGGCCCCGACCGAGAGGAAGACAGTGGATTTCCGCCTCTCATCCAGGCGACGGTCTCGGTCCTTCATGACGCCAGCGATGGCAGTGGCAAAGGGGATGCCCGCGGTGGCTTCGACCTGAGCGATGCCGGCGTGGTGCTGGTACTCCACCCCGCCCAGGCGGTGGCCCCGGCGGGTGGGCGAGGGCTCCCTGCTGAAGCCGCCGGTGATGGCCAGCGCCGCCCGCTCCTGCGCGTCCTCCACCTGCAGCTGCTTCACCAGCGGGCTCTTCTTCCTCTGCGGCTTGGCGGGAGCGAACAGGCTCACGTTGAACTGCCCCATGTTGGCGTAGGGGTTGTCGATGACCCTCCCCTTCCGCTTCAGCTTCTCCGGCGGGGTGGCGGACGGGCCGGGCCGGGGGATCTCCGTGGGCTCCACGGGGAGGTGGGAGGAATCCTGGAGGATTATCATGGAGCGGGCCCTCTTCTGCCGCTCGGGGTAAGGGATGGACGTCCTGGCCTGGTCGTACATCTCGGCCGCGCTGATGACCTGCGGGAGGCCGTGGAGTTTGGCCTCCAGGCTGGGCTTGAAGCTCGACCTGATGGTGTCGTAAGCTCTTCCCGGGGGCGGGGGTGGCGAGAAGGATGGAGGGGGGCCCGTGTCGAAGTAGTATGGAGAGGGAGGCGGGGGCGGGGCTGTTTGGGGCGGCGGTGGAATCCCATGTCCTTCCCTAACGGTGTCTTGCATGGATGTGCTCCGGGGAAACTTCCCGTCGAGCAAAGAAGCAGCAAGTTTCTCGTCTTCGCCTGGAAGACAGGGGGGAACAGCGACGTCAGGGGGGACACTCCCAGAGAACCCAGAGTGCCACCAACTGGGTGAGGGGGCTGTTCCCCCCACCCCAGCTTCTGTCTGAGGTGACTTTTCATCTTTTCAAGCCCAGCTGGAAAGGGTTTGGAGCAACCTGGGCTAGTGGGAGGTGTCCCTGCCCAGGGCAGGGGGTGGCACTGGGTGGGCTTTGAGGTCCCTTCCCACCCGAACCATTCTGTGATTCCAGGTTGGATGGGGCTTGGAGTAATGAGGTCTAAGGCAAGGTGTCCCTACCCACAGCCAGGGGATGGAATGAGACGGGCTCTAAGATCCCTTCCAACCCATTCCATGACTCCTGGTGCATTTCCATGCTCGTCCCTCGGAGCGGGGGACATCTCCCATCGGTTCAGTTCCCACTGTGGGGGGGGGGTTGTGCCCAACCCTTCCCCACCAGGCTGAGCCCTCTCCGGTGACAGGACAGTGACAGACGTGCTCCCTCAGCCCTCCCGACACCACCTGCCAAGGTGCCAGACAGCCGAGTGCCACCGGCACCCAGCACCAGCACCAGCACCCGCCCCGGCACGGGCTCCGCACGCGCCGCTCCCGTCACACCTCCCGGCTCCCCGAGGGGCTGCATATGTTCCCATGTGCCAGACTGAGCTCAGCAGGGTCTAGCAGGAACTCAAGTGATGGATTTTGAGCGTTGGAAGAGCCCAAAGAAGGAGGATTCCGTCGTTCTTGCTAAGAACCCCGGGTGCACAGCCAGAGCTTTTCCAAGCGCTGGGAATGCTCTGGGAAAGACTGGGAGGATTTTAAAGCGAGGAAAAACTGGAGGTTGGAATCAGATGACCTTAAAGCGCCTTCCAACCCAGCCCATTCTAAGCAATTCCATGATCCTACAATCCATTAACACAACAATCCCCCCCTCCACACTCCAGCCTTTGGCCTCAACCCCCTCCCCTCAATCCCACCCCCCAATTCCCTGTGCTCACCCCTCGCTCGCCAAAACTCCTTCCCAGTCCCTGTTCCGCTGCTCCCAAGGTCTCAAACCGCTCCCGAGAGGATTTTTTTTTTGCCTCTAAAGCTTTTCCTTTCCAGAAAATGCTCCTCCCTGCACCGTCTGCCCTCACCAAAGAGCTCTGGCAGCCGCGCCCGGCGTCCGTCAGCAATTCCACCCAAGGCAGAGTCCAATGGGGACAAAAGGGAGGATTTTGGCGCTGGACTTTCATCCCATGCTGTTGTTCGTGCTCAAAGCCGGGCTATTTTTGTTGCACAGTTCGGGGATTTGCAATCCCGAGGCGGGATAATGAACCGGCAGCACGGAACAGGTTCAAAGGGAGCCTGGACAAAGCCACGGAGGAGCTTTTTCGGAGCTATTCTGTGCCCTGAACCCCCTGAGCGCTGAGAATTCAGGAGAATTATCTCATCTGTGCCCTGTTTTCCCTCCCCCCCCCCGGGAATCCGCTTGGCAGCAGTGCCTGGGATGGGATCCTGCACTAGATGGAGCCATGGTTTGATTCGGGAGAGACGTTGTCATGGTCTCGGCAGCATCAGGATCCAAAAAACCCGTCCTGCCTTCCGTGGTTATTTCTGGGAACGGCCAGGAGTTGAAACAAGGGGATTTGGGCAGCACTGAGCTCAGTCACTGTGCCCGGGTTGTCACAGGACACGGCCCAGTGCCAGGAGAACTCATCCTGGGAATGCTCTGCCCGGCCTGCAGATGGGCACGGATGTGCCAAGCACGGAGCTACCGCAGGAATTCCAATGCGGAAGCTGGACCTTCCTCCTGGAATGTCCTGGTCATGGCTGCCGGACCAGGGGTGACACTGGGACACCACCAGATCCCATCTCTCCTCCACGTTTTCTTGAATGAGGAGGGACACTGTGGAAAACCTGTCAGTGCCTTCCATAAGGGACTCCCAAATCAGGGGACACTATGGAAAAGCACATCCAGGGCACTGCCATG